CATGTTGCTGTTCCACTGACTGAATGATGAGGTACTGAAACATGTTGTTGTTCCACTGAATGAATGACTGAGGGACTGAAACATGTTGCTGTTCCACTGACTGAATGATGAGGGACTGAAACATGTTGTTGTTCCACTGACTGAATGATGAGGGACTGAAACATGTTGTTGTTCCACTGACTGAATGATGAGGTACTGAAACATGTTGTTGTTCCACTGACTGAATGATGAGGTACTGAAACATGTTGTTGTTCCACTGACTGAATGATAAGGTACTGAAACATGTTGTTGTTCCACTGACTGAATGATGAGGTACTGAAACATGTTGCTGTTCCACTGACTGAATGATGAGGGACTGAAACATGTTGTTGTTCCACTGACTGAATGATGAGGTACTGAAACATGTTGTTGTTCCACTGACTGAATGATGAGGGACTGAAACATGTTGTTGTTCCACTGACTGAATGATGAGGTACTGAAACATGTTGTTGTTCCACTGACTGAATGATAAGGTACTGAAACATGTTGTTGTTCCACTGACTGAATGATGAGGGACTGAAACATGTTGTTGTTCCACTGACTGAATGAAACAGTGTCTGTTATTGAACAGGAGTGATGCAGGAAGTCTTACTGTGTGCTGTCATGTCTCTCCAGGCCACCAGGGGGCGGAGGCCGAGCCGACAGGAGGACATTGAGCTGGATTATGATGACCTGGGTGTTCCTGCTGAAGAGGAAGGAGCTCAGGGAGCAGAGTAGCAGCTCCAAGGAGCTCCTCTCACACACAGGGGTTTATCAGCTCTTATAGCTTTTAACCAACGTTAGAAAATATAGCTTTTACTCTGAAAGTCACCAGCAATGTGTTAAGGCCTCATGTTTCCTGACTTCCTGTCAGCTCCAAGCCCATTGGTTCCCACTGAAGATGAAGATCTTTAAGATCACAAGTTAGTTTTATTTAGAAAAGTCAATGCAGTCGGTGCAGTTTGAAACCACAGACACACCAACCCAGGCCGCTCAGGAACAAAGTTGGCCAATTAATGCCATATGTTAATGTTCAAATATCCTCTAGAAACAGTGTTACATTACCCAATGTTTGAATCTAATGTAGTGATTCCTGAGATAACAGGAGGAGCGCGTTACAGCGCCACCTAGTGTTGGATTTGTAGACCTCGAGCACAACAAGTTTTTTTTATATTCAATCAACAAAAAAGACAAGTACAGTTTATAAAATGTTACGTTTTTCACAACAATTCATCTGATCAGCGAGATAAGATATTTGATCCCCTTGTTGGTCACATGGGTCATTTCAGCAGCAGGACCAGATTTAGCTGAACAATATACAAATAGGAATTGAACAAAAGTAAATAGTCCATGCACTTCTTATTTCAACAATGCTGATGTTTTATTGAAAAATGTGATTTCAGAAGAATTCAGCTTGATTTTGGTCTGAAGAGATTGTAAAAAAAAAAGCTTTTTTAGAGAAATCCGATTATATTTGTAATTTACCAAAATGTATAAGATTTTAACTTTTCTTTAATGTTCTTATTTCACATGTACTGAGCTCAGTTTGTAATCATTTTCAATCATTCAGTATTTTTCTTACGTTATATAATTTTTGATGGTATTTTCTGTATGTTCTAGCTGTTTTTAAGAACTCCACCTATTGGAGAGCATTCCCAAATTCATAAGATATTAAATACTAACGTAAAAATGAACATAATTTTGTAAGTCTCCTTTTTAAAAGGTAATGTGCTTTGTTATGTGGTCAAAAAATGTGCTTGTTTTTGTATTATTGAGGATTGAACTTATTTCATAAGATGATCAATAATATGTAATCATTACTTTTTGGACTTTTATGAAACATTTATTTAGAATTTCACTTTTTTCAAAGAATTCAGATTATTTTTGTGATTTAGGATTTTCCCAAATTCAGGAGACAAATTATTTTATACTTAAAATGTTAACATTGTCCGTAAACAAGTGTTGTGATTTTGGAACCGAGAAATGTCTTTGCTTCATAAGAATTTTGATTGATTTTGTTGTTTTTTGCATTTCTGAAGAATTTAGCTTTCGCCGATTAAGGTTTTTAGATGTGGCTTTTTTTAACAAATGTTGTATTTGAAGATTTTCCATGATTTTGCTTAAATCTTGCATCACAAATTCTACTTGATTTTATAATGAAGAGTTTTGACCCATTGTTTCCATGAGATTACGATGAAGCAAATCGTTTAAAATTCTGAACACAGCAGAATCCTCCAGAAATCATGACGATGTTCAACATCACTGTAATAAACGCTGTCATTTGCTATGTACCAAAAAAATAATAAAACTTCTTTAATAATCCATGAAACTCTGAGAGTGAGCTGATTTCAAAAGTGTTTCTCCTGGTTGGAACATGATGTGTTTGCTTTGTTTCTGTGTGAGAACTAAACCTCAAGGCTTTAGTTATAACAGCTTAGTATTGAAATCATCTCTGAGTCAAACAGGGCCGGCACTTGGCCTAGGCAGTGTAGGCGAATGCTAAGGAAATTGGGGGAAGAAAAATAATATGAATACTATTAACGATATTTGATAACAAAACAATTTCCAAATTTGGGATCAATAAAGTATATTATTATCCTATCTTAACAGAACTAGGCATACATAGCGTACAGTGCCCATAAACTATGGCAGGGGTCTGCAACCTTTTTGACCCAAAGATACATTTTGCCCCCTTTTCCACCCATTTATTTTGTCTGGAGCCGCAAAACATATTTGATAGCTTGATAGCCTATAACGTTGTATCGTTACATCATAGACAAAAACTACAGTTTTTTTGTATGTATTATTTATTACATTAAAGAAAACTGTTGACCTCTAATAATAAACAAATGACTCGTATAAGGAGAATAAAAAGAAATACACAGGCCTACTTTAAAATAACTTAAACACAGCACTTGGGGAGTCCTCTGCACATTTGAAGGAAATAAATACAATTACAATGGGCCCACTTTGAAATAAATTAAAACCTACACAGTGAAACAGCTCATGTCAGTTCAACTTGCAAATTAAAGTTTACCTGCTGCCTTGAAAAAGCAAATCAAGTCAACTTGAAGACAATCTTTGTTTCAACTCATTAATGCAAGTACATCTCGTTGATATGACTTAAAGGTTCTAGTTGTATTAACATTGTTTTTTAAGTTGATTTAACTTTAAACTTGGAGTTGAAACAAATACCAATCTGACATTATCAGAGCAAGGAAACCTTATTTACCTCCTAGTCAAATAAACTCACATTTCAGTCTTATTATAACTCACACTTTCAAGTTCTACATTTATACAACATCATTTCAAGTTAAGAAGATTGTAATAATATATTTGTTTCAACTTAGATCTATTAGTTATATTGACTCCTGATTGCAAGTTTACATACATGTATAATAATTATTGCAGCAAATTTGTTCAGATATATAACATTTATTTAAAAAAACATGTTATACATCAACTTGAACATGGCATGATTCGCTACAGGGTGTACTGAGGGTTTGTGACTCTGCAGACCGGTTACATGCAGAGAAAGCATACATCACAAGGGGACGGGTACAGAAAAGCATGACATGGGACCTTTAAATAAAAGTGTTGGTTCATTAGGAAAGCTATTATCTCCCAAAGTATATACATTTAGACAATCAAACATTCAGTTCCGGAAAGCATAAGGGTTTACCACCTCTTTGCCCTCTTTTCTTTGTTTGGCCTGCTGACCTGACCTGAGCTGTATAAGATCCATATTTAGGCTCAGCAGCCCTGCTGTCCCCCCATGAGGCTGAACCTGAACCAGCTGTTCTCCCAACTGAAGGAGGTGAGCAGCATTGTGTTGAATGACGCCACTTAACATATCTGAAGGGAGACTGGAATACAACATATAGGCTATATATCAAAACAAATATGTTTGGGGCCCAATGTGATATATTTTCATGGGGCCCAAAATCCCTGGCGGCACCCCTGTTTAGGATCACACTTTATCAATCCTTTTGATCAGGGCCGGACTGGGACAATAAGTCAGGCCGGGAATTATACACCCAGTCAGGCCACTACCAGTTTTTTTGTGCCATTTTGCTGGATTTATTTGTCAATATTTACAGCGTTGCTGCCCATAGTGATAGCCCTCTAATTCTACTACCCAAAAATAAACATGGAGATGGGTTACTATTTAAAAAAAATTGCAAATCTATTTAGGAACCTATGTGAACATATTTTAAGTGGGGGTGGATCTCAAATCCTATACGGGGGTCCGGGGGCATGCTCCCCTGGTAAGATGTGTTTTTAATGTTGGACTTAAATGCATCAATCTGGTGCACTTTGAGGGGGAAATAAAGAGACTACACCCATATGAAACAGAACTGTATACATTTAAATAATCATAAGTACATGGCCATAACCAATAACATACCATATCCAATATGAAAAAACATTGAAACTTGTTTATTTATTTGTTTTTGGTTCATTTATAGTTGTGAGCGTGTCTGTGCTCCTGAACCAGCCTCACCCGTCTCCCCTGCTCCTCTTTGAGGCAGCAGCAAAGACTAGTTTGAGCTCTCAACAAGTTTTAATAGTTTATCTTGCCTTTTTTTCACCTAGTTTTTTAAATTATTATTCATGCATATTTTACTAATCACTCCCCCCTCAAATGGAAATATGTGTTTACATAAATGGTGACCAAACCGTTTGAGACCCACAGAGAACTTAGACTAAGTTAACTATCTAAACACTCAGAGTCCTTTACCTCACCTGAGCTGAGGTTATCAGTCTGACAGCAGAGGACTCTCCCTCCACCTTGTTGTTGAAAAAGCTCCTTATATCCGTTAGCGCAGGCGCAGCTAGCTAGCACCAGATGCTAACAACAATACACGTAACCGGGTGCTTTATCTCACTCGCTCGCGCCACACATAACACACACCCTCCCGAGCTTGAATGACACACAGAGACCAATCGAGGGTATTAGTATGATCTGTATGAAAGTGGCCATGTCGGCAGGCCACATCATGTAGACAGCCAGTCACCCTCTGTGAGGCAGAGTCAAATATCTTCAGGCCAGCAGGCCACTTAACAGGCCAGGCCATCGGGAAACATCCCGGTCCTCCCGATGGCTAGTCCGGGCCTGCTTTTGATCGTTCAATCCGCACTTTAATCCAAGCATTGCGTCGTAACAAACATTTCTCTCTGCTCCATTCCGTTTTCTTTGGTCTTGGCAGGCATCCAACATATATCCATATCCCGATCAGCTTTAATATCTTCTATCCGGCTTAAAGGTGGGGTAGGTAAGTTTGAGAAACCGGCTCGAGATACATTTGTTGTTATATTCCATGGAATGCTCTTAACATCCCGATAGCAATGAATATCTGAAGTGCTTTGACAAAAAATCCATTAAAAAAAAATGTCATCTGTGGAAGCCGTAGTAGCCTACTGTAAAAAGCACGACCAATCATCTGAGCCGGCCCGGCTAAAGTAACTGGATGGCCTACCTGCCTGTCAGCCTTCCTTCTGTGCACAAATTTATCTCGTGCCCTCATTGATGTGCACGTTCGTGTGTGTTGGAGGAGGGGCTCTCTAAGGAAGTGGCAGCTTTTTTCCGGTTTTGTATTTTCACATTCTAGCGCACTCGAGCTGGATTCTCCAAAATGACCTACCCCACCTTTAAAGTTCATCCATTGTATTAGTCCATTTACTCACTGTTCTTGTTGTCTTTTGTTTACTCGCGGGCCTCCGCTTGGCTAAACAGCTGATCGTTGCGCAATCCATACGCTCTGTTCGCGGAGTCTCCTTCTTCCATTCACAAATATCCAAGCCGGTGTCGGTACCATATCTGGATATATATATTTATACATATCTGGTATCTGGGATTCCAGTCAGCGATGCGTCTTTATCATCAGTTATTCCAGCGGTCCGGAGTCTTTGACTATGTCGTGGCCCATTCTTGTAGGATATTTAAAACTGTGCCACATTAACAGGGATCAGCTTCTTGACTCACACGTTAAAAACAGTCCAAATAAAACTCTGTAGGCGCTGATTTCTTTGCCTTCCTCTGGCGGATTTATTGACTTCTTCCATAAAATTAAACAAAAATGATCAGTGTAGCGTGAGGTCAGAGACTGTAACGATTCCCCGTTCTGTGCTGGAGACAATTTCCTGTGGCTCAGTCCCACCCCTTCCTTCCTTATATAACAGCTGATCCCGCGAGTCCTACCTTGAGGGAGATCACTTTTATTTATTTTTATTAGAAAATTCACAATTCAACATTTACAATTTGTACATGTGGTTTCAATGTGGCCCTGCATTTAAAACAATCAAACATAATAATCATGCATAACATAACAAAATAAAATAAATAAACTGAATGCAATTAGCCAAAAAAGATTGCCAAAAAACAATTGGATCTTACTTGAATGTCCAATCATAGTAAATGATACTACAAAAACAGAATACGAGAAACAAAACACAGCAAACAGGCAATAATTTATATGAAACATACTTTATGCTTTTCAGGCTATTCACGTTTCACCCTACACATGTTAGCCAACACTGTCATACTTAAACACCAGTCTGTCATTGTCACCAACCTCCACCAGAGTGCACCCATCCACAAAGCTCTCCAGAAAAGCGTCCTTTTCTAGGTACACATATGCCATCTGAACGTCCTTGCTTAAAATCCTCTTAAATACGTCCCATGCGTCTACCTTTCTGTTCCCATAATGGGCCAAGTCTCTCCTAAGTTTTACAGCATACCGGGCATGGCTCAGCACATAGTTACAGAGATTCACATTGGGACCTTTCACTCCCCCACTCACCCCAAACAGCCACAACTCCTTCCATACCAGCGTTTTTAATATTCTATCCCACCAACACTTATCAATTAGCCCTTTCAACCGTTCAAAATACACCTTCAGCTCTCCACATTCAAAAAATTCATGCATACTCGTTTCCACCATTACCTTACACACATCACACTCTTTCTTCACCGTGACATCAAACCTGCTTATGATCAAATTGTTGTACACCCTGTTGTGACGAAAAATAAAATCAAAATGCTCACATTCAATGCTATTCCATTTCACCCTTAAATGACCCCATACCTTCCGCCCATCAAACTTTTCACACACATTTCCCCACACACGCTCAGAAGCAGGTCTTCTTATTTGACCCCCCCCTCAGCATTTTGTAAATCACCCTCGTGTTGACTTTCTCCATTTTAACACGAGTATCCCCCTCCCCCACATACATTCTGCCACGCTCTCTCCACTTCTTGTCGCCTCACATTCAACCATTCTCACCCACCCCACAGACAAACCCTTTTTCACCCTCTCCATGATTTCTTCCGCCGTTCTCAAAGGCATACTCCCCCCCCTACCCATCACCTCATCCACTATCACCCGTGCTCCCATGAACCCCGGCACAAACTCATACACCAAATCCCTTATGTTTCTAAATCCCGCCCTCCACAGTTGGAGATCAAATACAGGACACTTCTGCACCGTGATCATATGGTTCATAAAAATAGGCTGATTCCACACTTGCTCAACATTCACACACTCGTGCTTTACCCCTTTCAGAAACTCCCCCCATGCTAATAGCGCCTCCCTGTGGTACTCCGAAACACTGCTCAGCATTTATTTTCTAAAAGCCATGAACAACGCCACAGCCTCCACACTTATTGATAGCTTCTTTTAAAAATACCTTCCACGCATGATCTTTTTTATCTTCCTTGTCACCAACATATTTTAACATCATTTTAACCCTTAGCGCCTTCTTTTTCCTTTCCACGTTGATCAGCTTCATCCCTCCATCCCTGTACTCGTTCTCCATTACCTCCCTAGCAATTCTAACGCCCTTCCCTTCCCACAAAAACTCATTTATTGCCATGTCTATTTCTTTATGAACCTTTGCAGGCATTTCCATGACAGTCATGATGTAGACTAATCTGCTCACTATGAGCCCATTTATCACCACTACCTTCCCTCTTAACTTTAAATTCCTCATCTTCCAAAACTTTATCGTTTTCTTCATTCTGTTGATGATTCCCTCATATTGCTCATCCCTCCCTTCCATTTCCTTTATACCCAAATTAACACCCAGCACCTTAAAATAATCTTTCCTTTCCTTGAGCCCTATTCCTGTCCTATCCACTCCATCACCTATATACATTACCTCTGATTTGTCTATATTTATCTTTGCCCCTGACGCCCTGCCATACTGCTGCACTACTTCTAACACTTCCCTCACACTGTCGCCATCTCTGACCGTTACCGTGGTATCATCTGCATACTGGTACAGGAGACTGGTCTGTCCCCCCGGTATCTCCACCCCTCTAATGTTTTTGTTCTGAATTAGCATTGTGGCTAAAGGTTCAGCTGACAAGGCATACAACATGGAGGAGAGAGGACATCCCTGCCTGACCGACCTCCCTAACCTAAACACATTTGTAACGATCCCATTTATTTTAACGCAACTCACCGCCCGACTATATAATCTTTTGATCCAGCCCACCAACTTCACCCCAAAACCTGCTTTCCCTAACACTCTATATAAATACTCATGATTGACCCGATCAAACGCTTTATTTAAATCAAGACTCATTACTATGCCACCCTTCCTCCCCTTCATGTGTTTAATAGTATCCCTGATACTGCTTGTCGTGTCACTTATATCCCTCCCCGGTACACTATACGCCTGAGTCCCACCCACCACCGTTTTAATTACCCTCTTTATTCTATTCCCTAACACCCTCGCCAATATTTTGTAGTCATTGTTTAGCATGCTTAACGGCCTATAGTTTTCTAATCTGTCCCCATCACCCTTTTTGTAAATGATGCTTATAACCCCCGTTGCCATGCTGGCCGGCAGGTCATCCTCCTCCTCGATGTGTTTGAACACCCTGTGCAGCACCGGTACCAACAGTTCCTTAAACGTGATGTAAAATTCTGCTGTTAACCCATCTAACCCCGGACTCTTATTTCTACCCAACCCTCCGATTGCTAGATCTATTTCTCCTGTACCTATCTCTCCCTCACACATCTCTCTATCATTATCATCTAAAGCTTTATCCATACTGCCTATCGCCGTCTCTACACTCTCTCTATCTGCCTCTTCTGTCTTAAATAATTCCCTGTAGAACTCCTCCACTCTTTCTGCTATCCCTACTAAATCTGTTATCTTCCTACCATCCTTTCCCTCAACCTGTTTTAAATATTTGTTTTCCTGCTTAATGTTTTCCAAACTCAGAAAGTAGCCAGTACACCTTTCCCCCTCCATAGCATTCTTTGCCCTGCTTCTAACAATCGCCCCCTGCATTTGTCCCTCTCTATACCCTCTAGCTCATCTTTGATCCTCGTGTATCTCCCTAAATCTCTCCCTGTCTCTTTGTCTATCTTTGCTGCCTCTTTCGCCAACTCTCCCCTCACCCTTTCCTCCCTTCTTCTATCAATCACATTTTCCCCCTTACTGTGTTTTATGCTTATTCTCTTGATCTCCTCTTTTAACTCCCCCCACCACACTAATATATTATTGTCCCTTATATCACCCCCCTTCCTTATACATTCTCTCACCCTTTTTTTATACACCTCATCATTCAGTAGTTTTGCATTCAAGCACCACATACCCCCGCCCCTCCCATTCACCTTCAGCCCCATCCTGAGACTAAGAACCATATGATCACTCAACGCTGTGGTCCTATATTCAATCTTTCCAATCTTTTCATTAACAGCTTCCGAGCACAGAGCTAAATCAATCCTGCTCTGCATGAGTTTATCTTTCACCACTCGTCTCCAGGAAGATTCTCTAACATCCGGATTTCTTTCTCTCCACACATCTATCAACCCATTCTCATTCATTATTTTTTTGAGCGCCACCCTCGAGGAGTCGTTACTAAACCGAGCACCCGCGGGCGCATCCAACCTTCCACACCGCACATTGAAGTTTCCCACAATCAAACAGTTCCCCCCACATTTTCCCTCCAACCCCTCAAAGAAAATCCTTCTCTCCCTCTTGTTATTAGGTGCATACACATTTATCAACTTAAACGTGTCCCCCATGTATTCATACTGCACCCCAATCATCCTCCCTTCACCATCATCCTCAACCTTCCTTGCATTCTTCACATCCCCCGAATTGATAAGTATCGCCACCCCTCTAGCATGCTCACCCCCATTATTTGCAAACACTTCACCCATCCACTCCTTTTTAACCTCATCCACACTCTCCCCATCCCAATGTGTTTCCTGCAGACATATGATGCCTCATAGACTTAGCACCCGGCTTCTTCTGAGCTGACTTTTTAGACCATTACCGTTTAGGGATGAGATCGTTGCCATCAAAAGGGATGTTGTTATAATATACGTCCTTTGCATCATTACCTTAAACTGGTTTATTTCCCGAGCTCCCCCTCTGTCGAACCCGCTCTCCTTTTCTCCACCTCCCTCTCCTTGTCCGCTTTGCGTCTAGCAATCAGCCCGGCGTTCTCCGCTGAGGTCTTCTTCTCCTCCTCGCGCCTGTTTCTCCTCGTGCCGCGGCCCCTCTGCTCATCGTTAGGGCTCCCGAAGACCATGACGCCCCCAGGGTCCTCCGACAGCTCTCCCTCCTCCATTCCGGAAGCCTCCGAGATGTCTTCCACCACTTCAGGACCCAGACACTTCTTTCCCCCGCCGCTGCTTCCGTCGGCGCCTCTGCTGCTTCCGCCGGCGCCTCCGCCGCCCTGCCTGGCACTTTTTTTGCTCTTTCCCACCTTTGGTGCTTTCTCTTCCATCACCGAAGTCCCCGAGATGTCCTCCACCACTGGACCTTCATCTTCGCTGCTGATCTCATCATGGGGTCTTTTCTTTGCCCCCTCTGCCTCGTCGTCTTCCTCCTCATCTTCCTCCTTGTCGTCTTTCTCCTCGTCTTCCTCCTCTCTCTCTTTCCTCTCTCTCAGCTCCATACCTGCACTCCTTGGCATAATGCCCTTACTCATAACACCTGTGGCACTTAAAGTCTGGGCATTCTCTAAAGATGTGACCCAGCTTTATACATAACCTGCCCACTGGAACCTGGCCATTGTGCAGGACCCGGAAGTACTCCGTCCCCTTCACCGTGTCGAACTTCGTGGAATACGGTAGGGAGCGGACCTTATTGTTGAATCTCACTCTCAGGAACCTGGTGCCGTCTGCAATGTCCGAGTCTGGCCACACTCTTTTTTTAATGTCCGAGATGGGCTTAACTCCCCACTCCTCAAGCCAATTTAGTATCGTTTTATCCAGCAAGTAGACAGGCAGATGCAGGATCGAGACGGTCACATCAGTGCTCATAATGTTTTTTGCATGTACCGCGACCCCGTTCACTCTCAGCCCCTCCATTAGTTTCATTTCCCCCAGGATTGTCCTCATCGTCACTTCATACTGTTCCCCCGTCACTCTACATCCACCCACTGTCCCACACTGTTTCTGTATCCCTTTAAGCAGGTCCATCATACAGTGCACCTTCCACTACTACTTCCACAGTTAATTCCACACTGTACCTCGTTCTCTCCCTCTGCCCCTCTTTTCCTTCCTCTCCCGCTTTCTTGCCTTGTTCTTCTTCTTTGTCGTTGTCCTTCCCTTCGTCCGCCTTATCACTTGCCCTTCCGCCTTCCATGTTCGGCACCTCAGCAGTCCTGACCACTCCAGCCGCTGTTGCCATCAGAACACTCGCCGCACCAGATCACGTTGCCGTTTGGGGAGGCCGTGCTTCGGGCCGTACCCCGTTGTTATGCCTTCGGTTGAAGCCCCGCCGCGGACTGAAGCCAATCGTATTTTCACTCGTACTCACTCACTTACTCTTCCTGCTAAAGTTGCACTGAACCGTCTCGGGAGATAACTGTGAACGTGCAGACAAGAGAAAGGTTTTCTGAAACTGCCGAAAAAACTTTTATAACTTACATTTGACCGGGCACCGGTCATGTGACACGTCACGAGACAATGACGTCACATTCCCACACATATATAAGAAGAAGCCTGTCACTTGAAGCTTCACAAGCTCCATCCACTCCAACGGTTCAGTGCGACTTTAACAGACAGAGACATCATCATGCTGGTTTTCCTCTTCCTGTTGGGCCTGGCTCTGGGTGATGTGTCTTCTTCAGATGACCCTCAAATGGAGCTACAGCAAGACACCTGTCCCTCCTTCTGGTTCTCCTTCAACGGCCGCTGCTACAAGTAGGCCTACTTCAACACAGAGAGGACCTGGGCTGATGCAGAGTTCTACTGTGTGTCCCAGGGAGGCAACCTGGTGTCTATCCACAGTACAGAGGGAGAGGATTTTGTCAAATTCCTGATCAAAAGCTCTGACCCTGCTGAGAGACCAACATGGATCGGACTCCATGACATCGCCAAAGAAGGAAGATGGATGTGGTCTGATGGGTGTGCAGCCAAGTATTTATTTTGGTATAGAGGACAACCAAACAACAGCGGACGAGGTGAAGACTGTACTCAACAACTGGTGGGGGAAGTGGAATGATGGGCCTTGTTCATCAACTTTTCCCTCAGTTTGTGCATCTCGCACAACTTGTCCTTAGCAGCTGAGATGTTACGTGTTCACCTGTTTTGTTAACATGATAACAATAAAGACACGGATGTTAACTTGTATATGTGTGTGAACAGAAGTCCTTTTGTCTAACCTTTATTTTCATGAATGTTACATATTCACACTGGTCGTTCCAGGGGTTAATCAAATTAATTATTTCTACACCTTTTTTTAAATACATTCAGTAAATAATATTGATGCATTATTATTACATTTTGATCCACAGATGTTAGCCGTTGCTTATTATTCCTGGTATTATACTTATTTGTTTTAACCACACAGTTGTATATCATTCAATGATCACATGGATGTGGTCAGGTATTTACGGCGCCTGGTGTGATGACACACGGGCTGAACTTGCTCTTTTCTGTTGACCGTACATCCTGCTTTGGTTATTATTAAAGACTGGTATTTTCGTTTTTTGGCTTTTGGTTTAAACGAAAAATCAAACCGACAAAGTACACGGACCCAGGACGAGTACACATTGTAGCTTTCGTCAGCCTGAACATGATCACTTTGATAGCCATAAACTGTTTTATTGACTTTCTCTAAATCTAGCAAAGTAAAACGCATTAACATTTACTTTAAACTATGAAATCTTACCGTCAGTAACGAGATACCAACCAGGGATATTTACCTTTTGGTTCTGTACGTTTCGTTTATTCCGTGTTTGAATACGTCACTACTGGGTCTACCCATGGCCGGTTAGCTCAGTTGGTTAGAGCGTCGTGCTAATAACGCGAAGGTCGCGGGTTCGATACCCGTACTGGCCACTGTATGTTTTCTTTAAGTTAGTAAAATTTGACCAGAGTATCAAACGGGGGAAAACTGTAATAAGTGACTTTTAACCCGTTGAATAAAAGGGTTAAAAGTATTTCTACAAATGGAGAATGACATTTAATAGAAATAAATGCATAATAAAGAAAGAGTAACATAAATAAAAACACTAAACTAAAAACTGTATTGCAGAAATATAAGAATGTTGATATAAAAAATGAAATAAATAAATATTGAAATAAACATGTTTAGTCTCTATAAGTCAAGGGTAACACGTTTTTTCTTTGGCTGTGCTCAGTCATTTGCTTCGTCATTCATTTTACATTATAGCTATGTTAAATCACAGTCACCATAGGCTTGTTGGTTGCATGTGATCTGAGATGGAAGTGAACCAGTGACCTTCAGGATGATAGACATCCATTTAACACTTGAGCTAAAGCCACCGAGAGAATTCAATATCATCTTTACAATTGGGCTTCTACAGTCAAAGAACATAATGTGTTGAATATAGAAGAAGTGGGAATACAGTGTAAAAAGATCACAACTTGGAATCCACTCAGATATAGTTTAGTTCTCCTCCAACTAAAGATGGAGAAAGACTGGAGATGGATTTAACAACAATGACAGGGTTCGAAACACCCGTTTTCAGTTTTTGGCCAGCTACAACTGTATTAACACTCATTATTGTCCATTTCCAGAATATGTATTTAGCATGTGATGATCTGCTCAAAGATAGAAGTGCTCTGTGTTTCTCCTTGTTCACAAAGATTCCAAATTAAAGGGGGATTTGTATTATAGCAATTCAAAGATATTGTTAAAGACACCTCACTACGTACACGTGTTAAAACTGGTCAGAGGAATTTAAAGTACAATAGTTATTAATATTGTCGTATCCACAGAATACAAGGCGACCCACCAAACAACATTGCGTAAAAGCTGCATGCCGCTTTAATGTGCATTGTGTGCGTAAAGGTACAAATACACGTGAGAAAACGTCACGGCAACAGATGGGCGATCATGCTTGAAAACTATATTAGTGGCCTAGAAGTCTAAGCATTACTTTAACATGCAGCAACCTAACGTTCAACACCCAGTAGTAACGACAAGTTTGGTCTTCAGCTTCTCAAAGTCACTTATAATTTAACATTATATCTGTTAAATCATCAGGTAAGCCATCAGAGTAAGATGAACTATGAATGTTGATTATATTACTGGTGGGGAACTGTAAGCACAGGAGCAATAATGAGCTAGATAATTGTAAGAAGAACATTATAATCAGAGATTAAGTGCTTTAAGAAACTGAAATTCATTATTCATGCATTTATTTATTTATACTTATGTCATGTTCGGTCCTTCATAATTAAAACCATATGTGTAAATGAAAACCCTTCAGGACATGTTCTTTATGCACTCGCACGTATCAAAATGATTTATGCAAACATGTTTTTATTAGTTCACAAAATGTGATGCGGAGCTACAGATCTTCCTAAAGATTCAAAAAGGAAAACCTATTTGTTTAAATAATGTTCACACATTTATAGATATCATGAATAGAATGTATTATTCATAACGTTTTCACACACAGAAATGGTGATACATAGCTCCAAGACATTTGACCCTCTGTTGACTCCATACCAAAATAAGGATGATTTAGCCAATGTGTAAAAATAACCTTTTTATGTGAGAGCTACTTGTTTAAATGTCTTTTACCTACAACAGTCCTTATGGGATGATTACATGAGAAGAATTGTAAAGTGCAATAACTTACACCTCCAGTAGGGGTCACTGCTCAATAACAGTTGACAATGTGCAGCATCTTTAGCCCAGTGATTCAGATCATTTCTTTCCATTAAAAGACAGGAACAATGTAGATGGATTTACAAATGATCTTCCCTATTGATATGAAGTCAGGCTTGTCATTATGAACATTTGTACTCATGAGTGTCCAAACACCTGTGTGTGGGTAAACTGCAAAGAAACACAAAAGGTAATATACATAAGGTTAAAGCTAGAACCAGCTGTTTTGATAAAGATGAAAAGGCAGTCATAATTTGACAACTTAAAAAAAGAGAATTGGGTTCCCCACAGTGTCTTTGTGCTAACAATCATTACTTAATGAGCCACACGTGAGCGTTTGAATACAATGATTTTATTGACAAACAGTTGTAAAATGCATTATTCTACCATGGTCAGAGTCGGACAAAAATCCATTGTTTGAACCAACGCTGAGGCTACTGTTGTGCAGGGTTTGGGCATAGCTCATTTGTAAAAGTAGTTTTAATTTGTGATAGTTACTGTGCATTTAAATCAGAATCACACATTCTGTAGAAAAATACTGGAGATCCAATGATTTCCCGATGTGTAAGACAGTCTGCAAATTGTGCAAAGTGTATATTCACTATCACACATTTAAAAGAAGTGAAAATAAGAAACCAACAAGATTAAATTATATTACAAGGATCGGTATTGATTGCATTTGAAAGCAGATCACCAGCGATCTGTAACGAATTAGCAACCCAACCCTGTTGTTTTGTAAAATGCACGTTAAATACATTTTTCTCCACAAAATGTTCTTTGGCAAACTTTTAAATTAGCACACATTTTCAAAAGATGCATCTTAACTTAAATCTAGAATAAGAAATACATATCACAGATTTGAATGAGGAAGCTAGTGTCGACTAGCTGAAGAAAAAGTGCTGAAGGGACTTCATGTTCACACAGCTGCTGTAATGAAGTTGGGGGGGGGGGGGATGCAGAAAGGCACAGAGTGGGTTTCCTCCATCACGTCTTCACACCTCCAGTTTGAACTGGAAAGAATTGGTGCTCCATTTGTTCGTGTCACAGGTGGGCATGGTGCGCTCTGTGAAGGTCACGTTACCCGCTGCGTCTATCAGGATAATTGTGTTGGTCCTTAAGGGGGCAAGGAAACAGGAAACAAGCAAACAAACACAAGGCATAACTAACAGAACATGCTAGAAGACACATTAAAGAGCACAGGCAGGTGGCAGGAGAACACTGAGGACAACTGGGATCATTTAAAAGTCAAATTGGTATCTATTCCCTCCAATGAAACATTACTTGATAGTGTATTCAACTATAGCTGGAGTCCGTGTTTAAAAGAAAAGAAGGTTATAGGTCTTAAACTTTAGACATTTATGAACATGGTATGAGTAAACATTATAGCTTTTGTCAACCTGAACATTATCACTCTGATAGCCATAAACTGTTGCATGACTGAGTAAAACACATTAACATGTTGAAACTATGACATCTTACCGTCCGTGCGGAGATACCAGCCAGGGATATTTACCTTTCGGTTCTGTAGGTTTCGTTTATTAGTTGATTCGTCCATTACGTCACTTTTTGGAGTATACCTGGCCGGTTAGCTCAGTTGGTTAGAGCGTCGTGCTAATAACGCGAAGGTCGCGGGTTCGATACCCGTACTGGCCACTGTATGTTTTCTCTCACACGTTAAGTTAGTAAGATTTGACCAGAGTTTCAAACGGGGAGGGAAAAAAAGCGAA